ATAAATCCTAAATTCTAATTGTGTTTTAATAAGTAATTGCCTTAAAGTAATCTTTGAGATGTAAGCTGATTTAGAATTTGTGTTTGATGAAGGAGATTAACTGAGTGATAAATGATAAAATATCTTATTTTTGAAACATATATTTTGCTATAATATTGTTGTATTTCACGTGTTTATTATTGTGCTTTTTGACAAATGATGCCAAACACTGAAGAGAGATGATTTTATTATGATTGATTGTATCTTGTCATGGTGATTGAAGTGTTTTCAATCTTGTTCTACTTTTGATGTAATTAATGTGAGCGAGCCCACACAACTCTGAAGACGCTTATTGACTTAAGTATTGACTGAAATATTCTTTAGACTAATGTTAATTGATTATCATAAATTGATAAAAGGGTGGATCTGTAAAGGAATATTTTGGTTTTGTTAAAGTATATAGAGTTTAGTGATTTGTCCTCGGGAATCTGTTTAATGGTTAAAGTGTATTCCTGCCTGTAATGTGATCCATAGCTTCTCAGGAAGACACAGGTCAAGAGGTCATCTGATGTCTTGTGGGGGAGAAGCTTGGCCCATGTGGGTTTACAATGCAACGAGTCTATGTCTCGACATCTGGCATGCATTAAAGGAAAACCCGCGTGTTTTAGGGCCCTCCTCTTCTCTTTGTATAGATGGGTGCTTGGCGCTTTTGGGGCAGAGTTTGCTGGTATCTTACAGGAGAACTGTGATATGCTGTGAACTCTCCGGCCGCTGAGGCTCTCAATAAATATCAGTGTATTGACAGGCGAATCCAGTTTCACTCATTTCATGATTGGCTCAACATTGCTGCAAAGAAGTTTTAACTTCACAACACTCAGAGTGTTGTTAAGAAATCTCATACTGCTATACTGTACGTACAACTTGGGAGGAAGAGGAGCTCTCTCGTTTCATGAAGGCATCATCACAGTCAGTCAGGTTCATGTTGAGGAGTGTGAGCTCAGTCTTTCACAACGTTTGAAAACACCTGTGAGAAGAAGAACAAGTGAACAGAATGTAAACAGAGAGCCAGCTTTAATAACACAGAAATATGTTTGCATATTAACTGAAGGACTATATCTGCATGTGTTTCTCTGGTCCTTGCTGTTCCACTCAGGTCTCCACATGGCAGTAGGATAACATCTGTGCAGGTTTCCTTATAGAGGCTGTAGGTGGAGGTTTGGCCACAGCTTTCTGTGGGGATCTTCAGGGGGAGTGGTCTTCTTCAGGTGGCTGAAGGTGGAGGTTTGACCGCAGTGATCTGTCAGAGGGCATGGCGTATATAGAGGATAAGAAATATATCCACAGAGACCTGAGAGCAGCCAATGTCCTGGTGTCAGAGAGTCTGCTCTGCAAAATCGCTGACTTTGGACTGGCAAGAGTTATAGAGGACGACGAATACTCTGCCAGAGAGGGTATACTTTTTCTGTTTGAATGTCCATTGTTATTTTTCAGTATTTAGCTGACTCCCAGGGGGATACTTTTGAAAAACCTAAAATAAAAATCGAAGTAGAATTGATGAACTATGTGTGTTTCAAGAGCCAGACTTTTGGTTTCAGTTGCCAGTTCCTCTACTTTTTCAAGCTAAAATAAACCACTCAGTGACCAACATAGGTTTAAACCATTCTTTCTCCTTTCATACTAACACCAGTCTAGTGTGTGAAAATGTATCTATGTGTCATCATAAACCTGATGATTACTGACCTGGAACCAGGAAACACTGAAACTCCCTTCATAGGAACATTACAAATAAACGCAGGTTTTTATTCTGACCTTCATTTACATATTCCATTGCAGTATGGGTCATACACGTGGAAATATGGAGTTTTTTTCCATTCAGCAGATGAATTTGATTTGAATTTAGATACTAAATGAACGGCATATTTAATGTTTTTCAGTGTCAGTTTCCTGAACATACTAGAGCCACCATTCACAGGCTTTTACTGTAAGCAGAATTAATGGCGTTTATTAGTTGTGACCTTTAGCATAGATTTGCAGTTTTATGGCCATACTCTACCAACTCCTTGGCCTAGTAGGCTATGACTGTCTATCACTAAGCTGATCAGTGCAGTAAGGTTAAAACATTTTCAGATGTAAACAACTAATGGCAAAAGCAATTATGATGAGAGCAAATCATTTGGCATTTCAAATATTTTTTTATTTCAGTGACATCTTATGCACTTATCTGCAAAAAACGATTTTACACACATTGATAGTGTAACTTCATGTGTTTTGCATTTTGTAACAACAATTTTCATAGAAAATTCAGTAATGATTGGTTTATGGAAGATTAAAAAGATACAATTTAATCTTCCCAAAGTTGTCTTACTGGATTAATGGTCAATGGTTTTGAAGAGTTTGATTTTCTCCTACAGTATGTTCATGGTAGCACAAAAGCCACTGAGCCAATGATCATGTCAAGCAGCTGGTTTTGTTAGATACTAAATGAACGGCATATTTAATGTTTTTTACCATGTCATGCTCAGGAGCCAAATTCCCCATCAAGTGGACGGCTCCAGAGGCCATCAAATGAAAGCTTTAGCGCAAGTTCAATAAGGAAGACCTAACTCGAGTCACTCACACGTCACTCTATGGCTCCCTTCCCCCCTCATTAAATACGAGGGCGTCACCCCTCAGCAGCCAATCGCTGCACATGCTAAATGCCTTAAATGCCTGCTCTTCCTCCCTGTCAGTTGTCATTGCAGATGATCACACGCAACCCGCCTCCACCCCTCTCGCCTCCTGTCTCCTTCAGGACAAAGCTAAACCTTCCTCCTTCAGACCGGTCTCACCTACTCATCACCACCACCAGTGTCTAGACCCCGGGGATTTCATCGGAGCGGTGCTTTCCCTCCTGAATGATTATCCTGCAAACCGGGGGCCTAATCGCCAAACACCATTACATTCTCCTGTTGTACTATCATGGCAATCATTTCATTCATATGACGTGTAAACAATAAATATGTAATTCTTACATCACGTCTCTCCGGTTTGAACTACGGATCCTTCACCATCAAGTCAGACATCTGGTCCTTCGGAGTTCTGCTCTATGAGATTATAACATACGGGAAATGCCCCTACCCAGGTAAAAAAAAAAACCTAAGTAGCCTATTTGTACTACTTATATTATTTGAATTTTTTTTAAACTACAGTGTTATGATCTTTGAATAATGCACAAAATACCATTAAATAACTTGCGTAGCTTTACTTATAACGAACAATTTGACTAAGACAAACGTGGTGACTACAGTAAAAGAGGTTTCCACAATACTGGAGTCATTGTGTTTTGAATATCTACCGTCCTCTACTGGTGATTCTTTACTCAAGCTAATGACTACGTGGCTATATAGAGTATGTGTGTTGTCCCTCTAAACCAGGGGTGTCCAAACTTTTTTCACTGAAGGCCACATACAGAAAAGCATATAAAGGGTTGGGCCCCCCACCAGAGGTGAGGTTTATTGCCTCATAAGTTAAGTTATAAGTTAGCAAAATCAATCAAATGTAGGTAAATTATTCTTGATAATTGAAATGCTTAAAGAGAAAAAAACGCCTACATCACAGCTTTCCATCGGGTTTCATTTATTTAGTTACAAAAAGTGTTGACAACTCATCTCTTAAAACAGAAGCCTCAGATTGCTTATAATAAGGGGAAAGAGGAAAGGTATATTTGAAACTTGATATGTAAGTAAGTTATTGGGCGTTTTTTTATCAACTAAGATTTGTTAGAAAATGTTTTCAACTTTAATTGACTGAATTTATTTGAAAATTGGTTACATGAACACACGAATACTACTGTGTCATATACATATATATTTAAGAAGTGCAATATAAGAAAAGCACAAGTTTCAGATGTGGGCCATATTCCATTATGCTTTTACAATTAGCTGAGGGCCAATTTAAAATGGACAACGGACCGCAGTTGGCCCCCGGGCCGTAGTTGGGACACCCCTGCTCTAAACAATCCTAGATTCTCACCTGCATGCATGCCTGTGTTCTCCTCAGGTATGACCAAAGGAGAGGTGATTTCCTCGGTGCAGCGCGGCTACAGGATGCCTCAGCCTGACAGCTGTCCTGACGAGCTCTACGCCATCATGACGTCCTGCTGGAAGCACAAACCTGAAGACAGGCCCACCTTCGAGTACCTGCAGAGTGTCCTGGACGACTTCTACACCGCCACAGAGGGACAATACCAGCAACAACCATAGAGAGGGACACTTTCAGCCAGAAATTATATTTGGAGCTGCTTTGGATGTGTTGTTATAGTTGTAATATTTTGTATATACCAGACTAATGTCTAAAGCCCTAACAATCTTGAAATGTGCTCCTATACATGTTTACAATGTGTTTCTTATATATTTGCTGTTAAGAACATTTCCCTGGATTTACCGTACTGTACTATTCAAAGTGTATGTGCTATTCCAGTACCTGACCATCTCAAATTCAATGTATGTTTGAAAGGGACAGAACAAATAGGTGACATTATACATAAGAGTTTGCAATGCTAGGACACAATGTCTTTATTCCTGTCCAAAAAGCTGCCTAAAAGAGACTGGATGTGTATATAATGTGGCAACAATTGAAAAAGGGCCATGCTGTATTTACGATTAGCTGTTTGACTTCACACAATCATTTCTCCTTTTATATAGTGTAAATGACTGAATTTCACATTTCATGACTTATTATTTCGTAAGCTGCTCTAACAATGTTCTTCAATCTCTAACAAAATATTCTTTAATCATTTTCTGTTTGTTAACTGTTTCTTGAATATCCTGATCATCTCTGAACCCCACTTCATATTGAAGTTATTTAGCATTTGTTTAATTGTTTAATTGGTGTGAATATGTTATCTGTATTATTTCAACTGTACATATATAGTGGGCTATTATATAATTAAATGTCTGGCTTTGACATATTGTGACTCTTGGTATATTTGGTTCATATTTAGAATTCACCTTAAATGTAGAGGAAAAATAAACATTATTTTGGAAAATTGAAACAACACGCTTTTTATTTATTTAATACGCATTTCAATGATACTTGTTGATATTTCAGATGAGATTGTGGAAATGTTGTATTGGCTGAAATAGCCGTAATTGCAGTAATTACATTTTGTGTCAGATGTCTTTGTACATTTGGCTCAAGAAATTCCGACATGATGAATTACTAGAAAGTGAATGTGTTAATGTTATTAATGTATTAATATAAACCCTAAATAAGTGGCGACTAATAATTAATATACCATGACAAAGGAACACACTTCAACTTAAACACACAAAAACAATCATATCCTTAGGATCTGTTTTATACAAATTATTCTGGTCTCAAATTACTGATCAGATGGTTGCAGACAATAGTTCATTTATTGTAAAACAGTGCAGAGGCTTAAAAGAGCACATTGGACGTCGTATTAGGGGGCGTTGTTGGAAAAGTAAGGCACTGAAGTCTCGGGTGGAGCGTCTCTGCAATCTTTGGCCTTCAATGAATCGGCATGCGTAGAAAGTGCTGGTGGTTGCAGAGATGGGGAGGGGCATTTTTAGTCCTGGCAATGAGCAGGAAGGGTGGTGAACGTGCACGATAGGGAGGAGGAAGCATCTCTTGATCTGGAAGTCCAACAAGGCCTGGAGAAAACACAAAGAAAAGGTGTTGCATTAAAATAGCATTCATCAGCAAACTTCCATCAAAAATCCCATGACTTAATGTCTCATACTGCTATACTCTACGTACAAGTGGGAGGAAGAGGAGCTCTTTCTGTTTCATGAAGGCATCATCACAATCAGTCAGGTTCATGTTGAGGAGTGTGTGCTCAGTCTTTCACACAACGTATGGAAACACCTGTGAGAAGAAGAAGAAGTGCACAGAATATAAACAGAAGCCCAGCCCAGGCATGCTATTTTTATACAGATATATTTTCCCATGTTTACTCAAAGATCATATTTACCAGTGTTTCTCTGGTCGTTGCTGTTCCACTTAGATCCAACCATAGCAGTAGGATAACATCTGTGCAGGTTTCCTTATAGAGGCGGAAGGTGGAGGTTTGACCCCAGCTTTCTGTGGGGATCTTCAGGTGGAGGAGGTGTCTTCAGGCGGCTGGCAAAGGTTACAGGTGGAGGTTTGGATGGCAGTAGTGTACGAGAGGTGTAGGTGCTGGTTCAGGTTGCTGACAGAGGCTGTGGGTGGAGGTTCAGCCGCAGTTGGCTTCAAGAGGTGTAGACGCAGGTGCACTGGCAGAGGCTGTAGGAGGAGGTTTGGCTGTCAGCAGTGTCTGTCAGAATCTACATATGGAGGCGGTGGCTGCAGGAGAAACTGGTGGTGGTTGCTGAGATGGGGTGGGGCACTCTTAGTTCTGGCGATGAGCAGGAGGGGTGGTGAAGGTGGAGGATGTGGAGGAGGAGGAAGCATCTCTGGAACAGAGCTGTTGTAAAAGGAGTTGTCCTCAGGGCCCTGAAGCAGCTCCTGGTAGATCTGGAAGTGTAAGGTGTTGCATTAAAATATAATTCATCACCGAACTTCCATTAAAAATCCCAATACACTCAGAGTGTTGTTAAGAAATATCATACTGCTATACTGTACGTACAGTGGATTTCTCTCGTTTCATGAAGGCATCATCACAGTCAGTCAGGTTCATGTTGAGGAGTGTGAGCTCAGTCTTTCACAACGTTTGAAAACACCTGTGAGAAGAAGAACAAGTGAACTGAATGTAAACAGAGAGCCAGCTTTAATAACACAGAAATATGTTTGCATATTAACTGAAGGACTATATCTACGTGTGTTTCTCTGGTCCTTGCTGTTCCACTCAGGTCTCTGTAAAGGAATATTTTGGTCTTGTTAAAGTATATAGAGTTTAGTGATTTGTCCTCGGGAATCTGTTTAATGGTTAAAGTGTATTCCTGCCTGTAATGTGATCCATAGCTTCTCAGGAAGACACAGGTCAAGAGGTCATCTGATGTCTTGTGGGGGAGAAGCTTGGCTCATGTGGGTTTACAATGCAACGAGTCTATGTCTCGACATCTGGCATGCATTAAAGGAAAACCCGCGTGTTTTAGGGCCCTCCTCTTCTCTTTGTATAGATGGGTGCTTGGCGCTTTTGGGGCAGAGTTTGCTGGTATCTTACAGGAGAACTGTGATATGCTGTGAACTCTCCGGCCGCTGAGTCTCTCAATAAATATCAGTGTATTGACAGGCGAATCCAGTTTCACTCATTTCATGATTGGCTCAACATTGCTGCAAAGAAGTTTTAACTTCACAATTGGCGTCGCGAACGGTTACCAACAAATCGTCGAGCTGGTGACTGTAATTTCAAATCTATATTTTGACATTGCCTCGCCAGACTCTGTGATTGACGGTATAAAATTACCTGTGGAACAGATAGATGCAATATTTTTGGTTTCCTCTGTGTGTGTGCACGGCAAATATTCGGAGAGACCTTAAAGAGGGCATCAGTAATGTGGAACTTCGGTTTAAAAGCAATGTAAAGATTTGTACTGAAACGAATCGCCGAATTCTGGAGATTTCAACGGTTTAACTAGTTAAATCAACTCGCCTCGAAATTTTCCTGTTGCTGCTGCGGGTGCAGGGTGTGGGTAATTCCCCTCCCCCCCCCCCCTGTGGGGAGCAGCACACACGAGGATAAACACAGCACAGTGTCGTATCTTCTTAAATCGCACCATTATGAGTTTTGGAACTAAACAGAACTCTTATTAACGGGAAACGTGATACGAAATATTACGTCACGCTGTGTTTCATAAACTGAGGGGTTGTTGAATTTGGCTGTTGTTAAAATAAAGGGTACTGAATTCATTAAAAGTCTCTGCTCTCCGGATCGGGGAGGGCAGAGCACCACTAAATTAGCATAGTGGTTGTTGATTGAGAATAATGTGGTTATTACTCTTCAGCAGATTCCGTTCTTAGAATTAATTAAATTAATTAATATCTCTGCTCTCGGTCGGTTGAGCAGTTTTACCACTACATTTGCATAGTGGTTTTGATTGAGAATAAGGTAGTTTATTGCTCATCAACTGAATTAATGTTTAACAACACAGACTTGTATTTTCTGTTAATCACACCATAAGCTCAAGAACTAAATTGAGCTATTAAATGGGAAGGGTGGTGGCAGAATATTACATTCACACTGTGTTTAATAAACTTACGGATTATTGAATTGGATTTTGTTTAAAAAAAAAAATTAAAAAAATTAAAAAAAACAATAAGTAAAAATAAGTACTGATATTTCCCTACCCCCGCTGAAGTTTCCCTAATTCGGATTAAAATTAAACTGGATGAGTTTAGCTGTCACCTGATATTTGTTGCGGGTTCATGTTTGTTTGTATAATTGTTTCGTGTTTGTTTGTATACCTGCCGTCTTGTGCATGTTTTTGTAACAACTAATAAATTAATCAGTCCACAGCCAAGGTAAAATGAATCTAAATTTCCGCAAAAGGAAAATAAATAGCAAAAAAGCCTCTGTTTTACACCCGGGAACCTCAGAGGCATAACTGCGGGTCATCTGTCTGCTCAAATAGGTCAATGTTGTATTATTTGTTTCATTTATTCTTAATCTATGTATTGTATGGTAATAATGAAAATAAAATAACCTAATGTATTGAACACATTCCGAAACAAAGCAGATAAGACAAGACTTAGACACAATGGTGATTGAACCTTTTTGCACGATTGATGCAAAATGAAAACTTTGTCATTATCTGTTTCCAACTGGCCACTGGAATCAGATAATGGATATGAGTTGAAGTTCAATTACAGTTTTAAATATAGTTCAACATCCTTTTCTATACTCTGCTTGGTGCTGCAGAAGAAGAAAATAAAATAAAACGCAAGACACGAGGTCAGAGACAGGCGTGACCTCTGGAAGGAGAAGATAATCTGAAGCAGACCACGGCGCGACCCATTGGGGGTTTTATGACCACAGCACAAAGAGGAACATCTAATTGCAGCAGTCAGTTTATAATTTTGCCAGTACTGTTGATACGGGTACTTTATTTGAGTATCTAAAATGTTTTGCTGCTTTATTTTTCTACTCCACTACAGTTCAGTGGTAAATGGTGTACTTTTACTCCACTACATGTATTTAATACCTTTAGTTACTTTCAGATGTGGATGAATGATGTGAAATCTAATCAAGTGTTTAATCAGACTTTAGTTCCACCTGGAGTAAATCCACCAGCTACCCTGCAGTATACAAAGTCATTCAAACTAGCTTCTCCTTTACCAGCTTTGAGAACACTTTCATGATCAATCATTATAAAACATATCATATATAGTATTCTGGAATAAACCAATCTGCACAACGACTACTTTTACTGTCGCTATTTTCACTATATTTTGATGACAATACTTTTATACTTTTACTTGAGTAACATTTTGAATGCAGTACTTTTACTGTAACTTAGTATTCCTACACTCTGGTACTTCTACTTGTACTCAAGAACAAGATCTGAGTACCTAAGCTAACGTTAGCCAGAAACCTTCCATTTTGACACAAAGAACAATGGGGTAATTTCAAAGTAATTCGAAGTAATTCACACAGCCTCTTCCCTATGGGAGGAGCAGCAGTTTCAGCTTCATTTAAATATGTCGCGTAGTTATAGATGGATTTATTTTTTCCTCTAAAAGAGAGAATGTGTATTTTATGTTAGTATTTCAAAAATCTCCTGGGGGAGAATCCCCCCAGACCCCCTGCGGGGGTTGGGTTTTCAGCATGTGAACTCTTTCACTTGTGAGGAAATGGCAGGATTGGCTCCAGGTCGCCTTTTTATTTACTACAAGACAAATGTTTTTATTTTATTTTAATTTCATACAGTTCAATTTGGATTGAGACAGGGAAATATTCTAAACCTCACGCGTGGCGTTTCACTGACAAGGGGGCGATATAGCGTGTATGTAATTACATTTCAAATACTGATTTGAGCCCCACCACTGTATGGGTTAGCCCTACCATAGATTATCTAACACAAATACTCGGGAGCCGATAAGTCAATAAGTTGCTTATCGCGACAGGCACACAATAAAACAGTGGAAACAAACATGTGTTTGACTTTCATTATTTAATGAAACTGTGTGCCCTTTATAGTCTGTGTCCAATATTGTGTATTTGTATATATATATTATATATATATATCCTAAGTATATGCTAAGGTCCCGCTACGGACACGATAGCAGTCGCTTCGTGCGCATGTGTGTAATTAAACCCATGATATCAAAATCTCACTCCAGCCAGGTACCCAAAGTTAGCAACCCTGTCCATACCCCAATTATATTTTATTGATGACAAGTTTGCATCCCTGCCTGTTATCGTTTTCATCACGGAGCTGGAAAAATTGTGTATTGATTACTGATCTGTGCAAGTCCAATTTGTTAACTGACTTTGGTTCTAATGTTAATGTTAATTTGATTTCAACCCATAAGTAATTATTTAAATTAACTCAACATTCCACATGATGGATTAGTGTTCCACATTTTTCCCACTAATTTGTTTATGATTAGGCCAATGGTAAAGAGAGACATTGATGACCCTGTGTCCTTTTGTTAGCACGTGGTTCCATTTTGTCTAATGGCGTTGGACAGCTTCACTAAGAGTCACCCAGTTCTACCCTGCTACAGTCCGGCTGAGTGCAGTCACAGAGATGCTATGGCTGCTCTACATGACATTAATGGTTTGGTCCGAGAATGGACACCATTTCCTGCTCCCAGAGAGAATGACGCTCCTCACACTGAACAATACAGCCATTGACACTGTCTCACGTGGGCCTGCTCCACCCCACCGAGCCATGAACTGGAAGCTGGAACACTTGGAACTGTCACACCAGCACCAACCCTTGGGTCAGTTAGATGAGACTAACGGCTTCACTTAGGGCATATGGGTCAGAAATATGACTCTCGTTACCACGGAGTGGGTTGTTTGTTTTTTTAAGGCTATTCATACTACTATGCAGAGTGAAGAGCCCCTACTATTTTAACAAATAGGCCTGTCAGGGGCCTCTTACTGTCTACTTCTGCATGTATTCACATTATATGGACCATGTTTACACCTGTTGAAACTAGGGCTGCACGGAACTCAGGCTACAATACAACCATTTTGTTCTGCTCTAACGATTCAATTTATAAATTCTACATCAAAATAGTTCGTTTTTATTGTTTCCAATGATAACGTCACCTTAAGTGGAGGAATGCAAACCTGTTTTAAAATGTAAGGTTTTGAATTTCTTTGACATTTCTCAGTAATGACACCCTCAGACGCCCACTATCATTTATGCCAGTGGTTCCCAAACTTTGTTGTGCCCAAGGCACACCAAAGGACAAGTAAAAAATCTCAAGGCACACCTATTGTGAAAAGATAGCCCTTATAACACGTGTTATCACTCATATTATGTAAAGTATCTGTAAATGTGCATAATTATTTACTAATGCCAAATAAAATGTGACAAAGACAACTATATTACGAAATATTTCCGAAATTAATTTGAAACTTTATCAAATTAGGCTTCATCAAAGCAGCAACACACTCATTTACACCAGACAGGTCACAAAATAGAAAATGAGGCAAAAGAAACTCAGCAGAAATTCAGCACAGACAACTGTCAATGCAAGGAAGCTGCATTGTCCATGGTCCGGAACTACAAATTATAAATGTATTACTTTAAAAAAATGTAATATATTACACTACTTCGTTACTATCTACATAAAGTAACTCGTTGCTTTACTCGTTACTTTCCTCGCCGAGCACGTACAAACTGCGCATGCGTGAGTGGCAATAACTTTCCTTACCAGCAGGCGGCGGTAGTCAAGCCCCCAGGTAGTGCGCCGGACTCAGATGAAAATATTCGTGCTGGCCAAACGGCGGTACTACACTTCCGGTTTGGTTGCCAGGCCCGAAAACACTTTTCCCATTGATTTACATGGGGAAAGAGTGGTCTGTAACTCGTTGGATAATTTTTTTAACTAAATAAACTACCCAGTATGAACACTTGTATAGCCCTTATTAAAAAACATTCGTTCCTCAAGTTGTAAAACATTTGCTAATAACGTTATTCTGAGAGTTATTTCCCTCTGCATTATGAACGCGCATCTAATCCACGGGACCGCGCAGCCCGGCAAGTTCATGTTACGTGTACCGACCAATCAGAGCACACTGTGCTCACAGGGAGGGTGCTGGAGCCAGGCTCTGGCTGGAGCTTTTGGAGCTACAACGAGCCGTTAAAGGCAGAGAGTGAAATTCAGTGAATACACGTAGTTTACAGAGATGCTTTATGAGGAACCAATGTGAGTTGCGTTTATCTTTACCCATGGATGCACAATGGGAACGGATCCATATCGTCTTACTGCCATCCCACGGAGCTGTAATAATGGATATATTGCACATGTTTGCTGTAATTCATTGTCATACTACATGGGCTGTATGATTGAATCTTGTACCGTAAATGTTGTATTAAATGGAGTTAATATTACCGATATCACTAGATCATTACTAGCTAGCCGCTAGCTGCTAACTGCCGCCTCGTTCATATCAAATCCATGGCGGTAGTGTGTATTTGTCATTTAATACAGGCAACAACCGGAAGACAGAGAAGAAGAATAGACTGCGTGATATAAAATAATGGGCATACCTCCACCCCTCGATAGTTATCGCTGACTCAGCCATGTTTATGCAGCACTGCACGTGGAGATGTGGACGCGCAAGTCGCGCAGATTACGTACATAAACCTACAAAGTACTGATATAGTAAATTAAAAAATAAATGATTATTTTTGTGTAGTTGTATATTGAAAAAATAGTGTATGGTTGTCACAAAATCCCACGGCACACCCGGATTTGCCTCACGCACACCAGTGTGCCGCGGCACACCGTTTGGTAACGGTGGTAACTCAGATGCTTACATGGACTTGTATGTTTTTTCCTTCATATCTAACAGAAATAAGAGAGAAAGAGATGGGAAAGTGAGTAAAGAGGGATGGGAAGGAGGAGAGATATTTGCGAGTTGCATACTGACTCTGAGTTTTCTCGATTAATAGCTTATATAGACAATACCATGCTTAGATAGACTCCTAAGTTATTATTTCATATGTGACAATATGTAAGAAAAGGGAGGGAAGAGTCAAATTATATTGAGAAATTGAGCAATTGATTTCATATTGGAACATTCATTTCTCAAACCTATGTTTTATGGAAGAGGAAATGTACTTCTGATAAACTAATCCTTGATCAAACGGTAAATGGTGAATTAATATAACATTTATAATCATTGAGAAAGGGTTATTCCACAGGGACTAGCTCACATTTAACTTAAAATAAAATGTATCTGCTTTGGACTGATGAGTATATGATTCTTGCATGTTAAATGACTAACACAAACCTTACATTTATAATGTGCATGTCTCAGGAAGGCTCCCAAATCATTCTGAGGGGGCCTATCCTATTTTTGTAATTGAATGATAATGTGCTAATCCATTACCTTGAGTTGTCTGCACTCAGGAAAACATCCCTATCAAGTGTTAACCCAATAACTAGGAGAGCTCTGAAGGCCAAGGGTCAGAGAGAGAGGGTCACACTCTGCGGCTGCAGAGAGCAACTTATCCACGGGCAAGGAGGTCGTTCGAGATGAGAGGATTCTAATCTTCAACTTTCTGATGAGATGGGATGTTTCTTCATTTTCGCTCGCAGGACGAGCGATGGTTTCAGAGGTCGTCATACAAGGTTTTCATGTTTCTTGGAGGAGCAGATGTTTTCATAACCTCTCCCATCACGGGGGGGGGCATCTGGATGTGCCACTTGGAATAGGCAGGTGCACTGCTCTCAAGCAGATAGCAGAAGGAATGCAGGCAGATGAGCCTCTGTTTCACTGGGAGATCATAAAGTGCTCACTGAATTGAGCCACAAAAGCAGAGCAATTGGGGGGGATTGAGATATGGCGCTCTGATGAAGAAGAGTTTTGAGCCAATCAGCACCTCAGTGGTAATCTACAGATAATTGAGATATGGCGCTCTGATGAAGAAGAGTTTTGAGCCAATCAGCACCTCAGTGCTAATCTACAGTATCAGGATGCCTTTACACACCAGACATTCTGTGTCATAAAAGAGAGGAGGAAAACATGTCTTCTGGCTCTCGTACAAAGATAACATTTGAATTGAATGACCAGATGATTACAGATGTACAATTAATGATTGTTTTTGTATTCCCAATGAACAGATATGTGTTAAATAGTGGTGATAAATATATTTGATCAGATTACACTTTCACACTAAACTAATTAATTAATTGATATTTTCAGATTTATAAGGTATTGAACAATAAGATATTTCTAATATTATAACAGACAATGTTACTATCCTTAATCATTACCAGGTAAAACAGATGTTTTGATATTGATTACAGTTGATGCTCTGAATAAAGAACAGATGTTTTGATTTTTCTTTTTCAGGTTGTTATACAATAAAATGTTTGATTCTTCAGATTGTTAAACATCTTGAGAATTGTTTAGCTTTCCCTTCAGATTTTGAAATGACATAATGATTGATAGTTGAAGTAATGTAATTAATTAAATATCATGCCTTACTCTTGAATAAAGCGTAATGAAGTAAACGTAAAGTAATGTTAAAGATTGAGGACACTGTAACTTTACAGATTACAGATTGATCGATTCATCACTGTGAATTTATACCTTAACTAGGAACCTTAGCTGGATCTCTCATGATTCTGATTTATACCTCAATTGGATTTATTATAAATCCTAAATTCTAATTGTGTTTTAATAAGTAATTGCCTTAAAGTAAATCTTTGAGATGTAAGCTGATTTAGAATTTGTGTTTGATGAAGGAGATTAACTGAGTGATAAATGATAAAATATCTTATTTTTGAAACATATATTTTGCTATAATATTGTTGTATTTCACGTGTTTATTATTGTGCTTTTTGACAAATGATGCCAAACACTGAAGAGAGATGATTTTATTATGATTGATTGTATCTTGTCATGGTGATTGAAGTGTTTTCAATCTTGTTCTACTTTTGATGTAATTAATGTGAGCGAGCCCACACAACTCTGAAGACGCTTATTGACTTAAGTATTGACTGAAATATTCTTTAGACTAATGTTAATTGATTATCATAAATTGATAAAAGGGTGGATCTGTAAAGGAATATTTTGGTTTTGTTAAAGTATATAGAGTTTAGTGATTTGTCCTCGGGAATCTGTTTAATGGTTAAAGTGTATTCCTGCCTGTAATGTGATCCATAGCTTCTCAGGAAGACACAGGTCAAGAGGTCATCTGATGTCTTGTGGGGGAGAAGCTTGGCCCATGTGGGTTTACAATGCAACGAGTCTATGTCTCGACATCTGGCATGCATTAAAGGAAAACCCGCGTGTTTTAGGGCCCTCCTCTTCTCTTTGTATAGATGGGTGCTTGGCGCTTTTGGGGCAGAGTTTGCTGGTATCTTACAGGAGAACTGTGATATGCTGTGAACTCTCCGGCCGCTGAGGCTCTCAATAAATATCAGTGTATTGACAGGCGAATCCAGTTTCACTCATTTCATGATTGGCTCAACATTGCTGCAAAGAAGTTTTAACTTCACAACACTCAGAGTGTTGTTAAGAAATCTCATACTGCTATACTGTACGTACAACTTGGGAGGAAGAGGAGCTCTCTCGTTTCATGAAGGCATCATCACAGTCAGTCAGGTTCATGTTGAGGAGTGTGAGCTCAGTCTTTCACAACGTTTGAAAACACCTGTGAGAAGAAGAACAAGTGAACAGAATGTAAACAGAGAGCCAGCTTTAATAACACAGAAATATGTTTGCATATTAACTGAAGGACTATATCTGCGTGTGTTTCTCTGGTCCTTGCTGTTCCACTCAGGTCTCCACATGGCAGTAGGATAACATCTGTGCAGGTTTCCTTATAGAGGCTGTAGGTGGAGGTTTGGCCACAGCTTTCTGTGGGGATCTTCAGGGGGAGTGGTCTTCTTCAGGTGGCTGAAGGTGGAGGTTTGACCGCAGTGATCTGTCAGAGGGCATGGCGTATATAGAGGATAAGAAATATATCCACAGAGACCTGAGAGCAGCCAATGTCCTGGTGTCAGAGAGTCTGCTCTGCAAAATCGCTGACTTTGGACTGGCAAGAGTTATAGAGGACGACGAATACTCTGCCAGAGAGGGTATACTTTTTCTGTTTGAATGTCCATTGTTATTTTTCAGTATTTAGCTGACTCCCAGGGGGATACTTTTGAAAAACCTAAAATAAAAATCGAAGTAGAATTGATGAACTATGTGTGTTTCAAGAGCCAGACTTTTGGTTTCAGTTGCCAGTTCCTCTACTTTTTCAAGCTAAAATAAACCACTCAGTGACCAACATAGGTTTAAACCATTCTTTCTCCTTTCATACTAACACCAGTCTAGTGCTGTGAAAATGTATCTATGTGTCATCATAAACCTGATGATTACTGACCTGGAACCAGGAAACACTGAAACTCCCTTCATAGGAACATTACAAATAAACGCAGGTTTTTATTCTGACCTTCATTTACATATTCCATTGCAGTATGGGTCATACACGTGGAAATATGGAGTTTTTTTCCATTCAGCAGATGAATTTGATTTGAATTTAGATACTAAATGAACGGCATATTTAATGTTTTTCAGTGTCAGTTTCCTGAACATACTAGAGCCACCATTCACAGGCTTTTACTGTAAGCAGAATTAATGGCGTTTATTAGTTGTGACCTTTAGCATAGATTTGCAGTTTTATGGCCATACTCTACCAACTCCTTGGCCTAGTAGGCTATGACTGTCTATCACTAAGCTGATCAGTGCAGTAAGGTTAAAACATTTTCAGATGTAAACAACTAATGGCAAAAGCAATTATGATGAGAGCAAATCATTTGGCATTTCAAATATTTTTTTATTTCAGTGACATCTTATGCACTTATCTGCAAAAAACGATTTTACACACATTGATAGTGTAACTTCATGTGTTTTGCATTTTGTAACAACAATTTTCATAGAAAATTCAGTAATGATTGGTTTATGGAAGATTAAAAAGATACAATTTAATCTTCCCAAAGTTGTCTTACTGGATTAATGGTCAATGGTTTTGAAGAGTTTGATTTTCTCCTACAGTATGTTCATGGTAGCACAAAAGCCACTGAGCCAATGATCATGTCAAGCAGCTGGTTTTGTTAGATACTAAATGAACGGCATATTTAATGTTTTTTACCATGTCATGCTCAGGAGCCAAATTCCCCATCAAGTGGACGGCTCCAGAGGCCATCAACTACGGATCCTTCACCATCAAGTCAGACATCTGGTCCTTCGGAGTTCTGCTCTATGAGATTATAACATACGGGAAATGCCCCTACCCAGGTAAAAAAAAAAAACTAAGTAGCCTATTTGTACTACTTATATTATTTGAATTTTTTTTTAAACTACAGTGTTATGATCTTTGAATAATGCACAAAATACCATTAAATAACTTGCGTAGCTTTACTTATAACGAACAATTTGACTAAGACAAACGTGGTGACTACAGTAAAAGAGGTTTCCACAATACTGGAGTCATTGTGTTTTGAATATCTACCGTCCTCTACTGGTGATTCTTTACTCAAGCTAATGACTACGTGGCTATATAGAGTATGTGTGTTGTCCCTCTAAACCAGGGGTGTCCAAACTTTTTTCACTGAAGGCCACATACAGAAAAGCATATAAAGGGTTGGGCCCCCCACCAGAGGTGAGGTTTATTGCCTCATAAGTTAAGTTATAAGTTAGCAAAATCAATCAAATGTAGGTAAATTATTCTTGATAATTGAAATGCTTAAAGAGAAAAAAACGCCTACATCACAGCTTTCCATCGGGTTTCATTTATTTAGTTACAAAAAGTGTTGACAACTCATCTCTTAAAACAGAAGCCTCAGATTGCTTATAATAAGGGGAAAGAGGAAAGGTATATTTGAAACTTGATATGTAAGTAAGTTATTGGGCGTTTTTTTATCAACTAAGATTTGTTAGAAAATGTTTTCAACTTTAATTGACTGAATTTATTTGAAAATTGGTTACATGAACACACGAATACTACTGTGTCATATACATATATATTTAAGAAGTGCAATATAAGAAAAGCACAAGTTTCAGATGTGGGCCATATTCCATTATGCTTTTACAATTAGCTGAGGGCCAATTTAAAATGGACAACGGACCGCAGTTGGCCCCCGGGCCGTAGTTGGGACACCCCTGCTCTAAACAATCCTAGATTCTCACCTGCATGCCTGCCTGTGTTCTCCTCAGGTATGACCAAAGGAGAGGTGATTTCCTCGGTGCAGCGCGGCTACAGGATGCCTCAGCCTGACAGCTGTCCTGACGAGCTCTACGCCATCATGACGTCCTGCTGGAAGCACAAACCTGAAGACAGGCCCACCTTCGAGTACCTGCAGAGTGTCCTGGACGACTTCTACACCGCCACAGAGGGACAATACCAGCAACAACCATAGAGAGGGACACTTTCAGCCAGAAATTATATTTGGAGCTGCTTTGGATGTGTTGTTATAGTTGTAATATTTTGTATATACCAGACTAATGTCTAAAGCCCTAACAATCTTGAAATGTGCTCCTATACATGTTTACAATGTGTTTCTTATATATTTGCTGTTAAGAACATTTCCCTGGATTTACCGTACTGTACTATTCAAAGTGTATGTGCTATTCCAGTACCTGACCATCTCAAATTCAATGTATGTTTGAAAGGGACAGAACAAATAGGTGACATTATACATAAGAGTTTGCAATGCTAGGACACAATGTCTTTATTCCTGTCCAAAAAGCTGCCTAAAAGAGACTGGATGTGTATATAATGTGGCAACAATTGAAAAAGGGCCATGCTGTATTTACGATTAGCTGTTTGACTTCACACAATCATTTCTCCTTTTATATAGTGTAAATGACTGAATTTCACATTTCATGACTTATTATTTCGTAAGCTGCTCTAACAATGTTCTTCAATCTCTAACAAAATATTCTTAATCA